TGCCAGGGGGGTGTCTGTGGGGGGTGGGGGAAGAGGATGCCGGAGTGAGGGCATATATATGCGTGAGGGGAGGTGTGCAGTGGTGCTGTGCTTTGTTAGGGTGGAAGGAGTATCCTTGTGAGGGACACTTCCTCAGTGTGGTCAGCGTGAGGGACGCTGAGCCGAGAGGGAGGAGCAGGGTTGTTCATGATGAAAGGCTTCTGTGAAGGTGGACATGTGGAGAGTGGAAAAGGGAGGGGTATCTGCGAAATCATTGTGGAGGGTATTTTGTAGTGTTGTCTGGGAGTTAAAATTTTGGGGTGATGCCTGGAATTAAAATTTTGAAGTGCAAGTGAGAGGAATATTAACAGAGGAAAAAAGATGCTTGGGCTAGGAGGGAGAAAATAAAGGTGATTAAAGTGACTGGGAAGGTTTTATGGGGTGAAAGCTGTAACGTGGATAGTGTCAAGGATTAAATAGCAAAGCTAGAATACACGGATGCGTATCTGTTCTAGTACTGGAAGCTGCCTTGATCACATGTGCTTATTGCCCAAGTGACAGGCAGTGTCAGAGAAGAACTGTTTTGCATTTTTTTCACTGTTAGAAAGTAAATGAAACTCTTCTGCAACAGCAGCTACATCAAAGCTTTCTTGTACATCAAAGCTTTGCTAGGTAGGAAGCCTTGGAACTGATCTAGCAATGTATTATTGGAACTTGCTTGCTAGTGATTAACATTGTTTCTGAACAAGTGTAAGTACAAATTCTCCGCTTTCCTAATGATTGGTTAGTTTTGAATGTTGGAGCTTAGTTACTGTGATAAAGTAAACCCCCTCTTGTAGATCTTACCTTTAAGTATTTACTATTCTATTTTGGGGGGGAAAAAAAAGTGTTTTGAAGACTTTTCCTAACAGTTTGAAGAGACACTGATAATATTTGGCCCCTGCTGGGAAATGTGTGCCCAACAGCAGATCCTTACTGATTTAATTTTGACTGTGCTCAAAGATGTGTCTGAATTCTTAGTAAGAGAAATTGTAACTGGTGTATATCACCACGAGTTAGAATTTAAATCTCCTATTCATCATCAACATTGTTGTTCACAATCCTCTTTGCCCCTTTGTGTTGCCCAAAATTTGTTGGAAGCATTCTCTGTTGCAGTCAGCAGCTTTACCTGATTTGCAGCTCTTACCACCTAATGTTTTTCTTTTGAGCTCTCCTTTGTTGTTGTTGCGTAAAAAAAATTGTTGCTATTACGAAACAGTTTTTTGCACTTGAGATATTGCTCAATTTTCACTTTGGGATTTACTTCATTAGGCGTATCACATGTTACTGAGAAGCATGTGTTTTCACAATGATATGCAAGCTTCTTCATACCTGAGTAATTTTAAATGGTAGTTGTGGGGTTTTTGTAAAGAAAAATGTGTAACTGTGCATCCAAATTCATGTTAATTTAAGTTTGTTGCGCAACATACTTACTGTAGGGCTGTTTCTTCATGAGTCTACGCGGTTAACCATCACTTGTGTAAGCTAGTAAACAGTTCTTGTTTCAGTGTAAAGTACGTGCATATAGACTTGCGTAATGGTGATGTAGGTTAGGGGCTTATTTTATACTTCTGTATTTCTTGTTTTTTCCCATTTAATAAGTCATTAAGTTTTGTGATTCTTGACTTAATTTCCCCCCTCCCTAGTGATATGTAATATATATGAACTATTTATATGTTTTGTTTTCCTTAATATTAATGGATATAATTTTATAGGTTAATGGCAACCTACATGTACATTGGGAAAAGGGAAAAAAATAATTGAGGTATCTTTATTTTTTTACTCCCCCCTGAAAATGTTAGACTTGCTGATGGTTGGTGACAGTGAGGAAGTATGGAATATTAATTTGTGCTAATTCTTGTTTGCGCAGGCTTTTTGGTGTGCATGTTTTTTTGTGGGTGCGTTGTTTGGTTTTGTGGGGTTTTTTTTTCTTATTAAACAGTTTCAATTTTGCTTTGTAGAGCCAAGTAAGTTTTCACAAACACTGAATGGAATTCCTTCTTCAAACACAGTCAGCAGTGGAATGGACCCCTTCCATGCTTGTAGTATTCTTCAACAGCTTAAAACTATGTATGATGAAGGACAACTGACAGATATCGTAGTGGAAGTGGATCACGGGAAAACATTCTCCTGTCATAGGAATGTTCTTGCTGCAATCAGTCCTTATTTCAGGTGCAGTATTCCATTGCTCTAGTGGTGATTAAAAGCAGAATTATAACTTAATTTCATTAAATGGAAAAAAAAGTCATACCTATACTAATATTCCATGTAACTATCAATAGTATAGTGTACCTAGTAAGTAAAGATTTTTGTTCTCTTGACATCAATGAATTATCAGTGTCTGTTTATCAAAGGGGAGTTTCACTGGAGAAAGTGTTACATGATTTTAAAAAAACAAACCAACCAAACAAAAATGCCTCCAGTATAGAGGTTATCTTGGATACAGTAACAGCATATTCAAACTACTTGTTTCCTTTTAAGGTTATGTCTTCTAGCATGCTAAAATATGCATAAGAAATAACATGTTGAAAGTTGAGTGCAAAGACTTGGATATGTCAAGAGCTCTGCTTGTAAACTGAGTGAATTTTAATATGGGGTTAGTCAGGTAATTAAGCAAGGAATTCCAGCTTGCCACTTTTGTTTCAGTATGTCTAGAACTGATCTTAAATTTAAGTACCCAAACAGAACAGTGTTACATCAGCGATGAATTTATTTGTGCTGTTTTAAGGGTAAATACATTTGGATTAGCTGTACAATATAATTTCATTTTGTAGTAGTTAGAAGGTAATTACAAATAAACTGCTAAATATTTTTCTTTTGTAGATCTATGTTCACTAGCGGCCTTACAGAGAGTACCCAGAAAGAAGTTCGTATAGTTGGTGTTGAAGCAGAGTCAATGCATTTAGTATTGAACTATGCATATACCTCCAGAGTAATGCTGACAGAGGCCAACGTTCAAGCTTTGTTCACTGCAGCTAGTATCTTCCAGATCCCTTCCATCCAAGACCAGTGTGCTAAATACATGATCAGTCATTTGGACCCACAGAACTCCATTGGGGTGTTTATCTTTGCTGATCACTATGGTCATCAGGAACTCAAAGACAGATCACAAGACTACATTCGTAAAAAGTTTCTGAGTGTCACCAAAGAGCAAGAATTTCTTCACTTGAGAAAAGACCAACTGATAAGTATACTCGACAGTGATGATTTAAATGTAGACAAAGAAGAACATGTTTATGACAGCATTATAAGGTGGTTTGAGCATGAACAAAATAAGAGAGAAGTGCACCTTCCAGAAATATTTGCCAAATGCATCCGTATGCCTCTGTTGGAAGAGACATTCTTAGAGAAAATCCCTCCCATGTTTGCACAGGCTATGGCCAAAAGCTGTGTACAAAAGGGACAACATAGTGCCAATGGCTATACACAACGGCTTGGAATGACCGCTTCTGAAATGATCATATGCTTTGATGCTGCCCACAAACACTCAGGAAAGAAGCAAACAGTGCCTTGTTTAGATTCGGTCACAGGGAGAGTGTTTAAACTATGCAAGCCACCAAATGACTTGAGGGAGGTTGGAATTCTTGTATCTCCTGATAATGATATTTATATTGCGGGTGGTTACAGACCAAGCAGCAGCGAGGTCTCCATTGACCACAGAGCAGAGAGTGATTTTTGGATGTATGATCACTCTGGCAATAGGTGGATTCCGAAAGCTCCTTTGTTGCGAGCCAGAATAGGCTGCAAATTGGTTCATTGCTGTGGTAAACTGTATGCAATAGGTGGTCGTGTTTATGAAGGAGATGGGCGAAACTCACTCAAGTCTGTGGAGTGTTATGACAGCCGAGAGAACTGTTGGACAGCTGTCTGTCCAATGCCGGTAGCAATGGAGTTTCATAGTGCTGTGGAATATAAGGATAACATCTATGTTTTACAGGGTAAGGTGGTTTGACTGACTATATGATGTTTTATTGGAAGTGGGGTTTGTTCAATCCGACTGTGCTCTCTTAAGCACCTTAGAAAACCCAAGTTTCTGGGACGTTTAAAGAATGCCCTGGGAAAAAGGGGTGGGAGGAAAGCTGGGGAGAGCAGTGGATGAGGAAGAATGAGGTGGCTGCTTGAGTTCTCATGTCCTGGGAATGTGTCACTGAGCTGTAGCATTGAGTTATTGCACAAATGTCAGTTCTGGTGGTGTTCTAAGTCAACAGTATTAAATTTTACTGTGAAAATTCTTTATTAAATCTTTGGGTGAAATGCACTAATGTTGAAGAAAATATACTGTCGTATGAAAAAGCACTTTGCATTTTGTTTAGCTAAATCTGTGAATTCCTGGTGTCTGTATTCTTGGTGACTTGTCAAAGTCAATTAACAACTATAGGCCTTCATTTCCTGCCCTACCCTGCTTTTTGAAGTCATCCTGGTAACTAAGAAAGATGGTTTATCTCTTTCTAGTTCTGTTTCTTTGGTCAGTAATTATAGCGCTGCCTTTACATCCTTTCTTCCGGTAAATGATCAAACTTATTGGTGTATTGGATACTGATTCTTAAATGAATTAAAAGGATCATTATGGGAATGGATCAAATAATTTATTCTTCCCTTTATTTTTGGAGATCTTATATAAAATATATATTTGTACATATGCATGAGACTTATAGCAGTCTACACTTAAAAGTGCTGAGACTGGTCTGAGGCTGTAGTAAGAGTCCGAAGAAGTGGAAGAGAAGAAGGGGGAGTGTCTTGATTATGTTTTGCCAAGAGCCACCTCTGTGTCAACACCTACGCAGTTGGGGTCTTAGATCCATACCAGCTCCCTCTTTGGGTCACTCTCCATACAAAGCTGGACCACAGGAACGAAACAAGATAGAGAATACTGTAAGGTCATTGTTATTTACCGGAAGAATTCAACCTGATTTCTTGACTTTGTATTGATGCCACTCGCTAAGGCTGGTGGGCTTCCACGTGTTTTGCAGAGAGTCATTGTCTTCTTCCATTGTTTCTGTATCAGGTTTGACTCTTGTTGGTTGTGGCTTTAAATAATTCTGTTACACTAGCAAGTTGTCACAGTCTGTCTCTTCTACTGGGTCAGACTTCTGCTTTAGATGGTTGAAAAAGGAATGCTGAAGAATACTTAACTTGGTAGAGTATTTGCTCATCCTTCAAATGTTTCTTAAAACTGCTAAAAACTGGATGTTATTGTAATGTGTAGAATAAGAGTGCATCTTGTTTACAAATTTTAGCTGCAATAATTCTGTGCTTCAGTGGTTTAAGTGACAACTCAATGCTTGTGTAAGTAAGCAAGCTACTTCACTGTGCTAACCAGCAAATTATAAAGATTCGTGTTATGGAAAATAGGCAACTTTTCTATTCGAGTGTGGTAGATAAAACCTTCATTGAGTTGCACTGAAGTACAAAAACATTAACTTTCAATAATTTTTGTAGAGAAAGCTCTTAAGTTTGAGGTAGTCAGTAAGTATTGAATGTAAAAATGCCAACATAACGCAAGCATCAGTCATAGGAGATTACACTGTGTAACAAAAGTGAATAATCAAAAAATGTATTATCTGTACAACCTAAGCTATGTTCCACCCATTTTACTGTATTATTTCTGTATTCTTTGTTATATGTGAGGTGCTTGGTTACACAGCAGCTTGGTTAAAATTCTTAGAATAGCCATGTGAAATGATACATGATTTGAATTGTGCTAAAATTTGGCAAATATTAGGCCTTTCTTCCCCCAGGCTTTACAAAAGACAAGGTGGGCTTTATCCATGTTCTTTTTATCAAGTTTACAGAACATGAGCTTTCAGCCATTTGAACTTCCATTATCTACAGTCTGTAGATGCCACTCTGTGCAGGCAATAGAAGAGGTGTTTTATAATCTAATTGCAAAAGTGATGATGAATCGATAACTTCATGCAAGTATTCCATTGGCATCCTTTTAAGCAGCTCAACCTAAATGTGTAACCCAGACACTTCAAATACAAGCAGCTTCAAAATCTGTGTGTAGTACAGGACAATTATTTGCTCAGCTTTAACAGCTTTCAAGCACTGAATTCTGAGACTCCACAGGCTGTAGGTGACACGTGAAGATTTTGAAGAACGAAAAAAATAAGATGTTTGAAGACTGGAATCTAGAAAGGTTTTGTCCCAAATTATTAAGCATGGCTTAGAAATAATAAAGGATAGCTAGGAAATATGTAAAATGTATTTCTGGTATGCTTCAAATTCCCTCTTCAATAGCTGGAATAGAACCTTAAAGTAGTTTTTACTCATGCTGTTAATATTTTTGTAATACACTTGCAAGAAAGCAGATGATGGTGATAGGTTGTTTTTTTTTTTTTTTTAATGCGATCAAAGCTTTTAGAAATTGATAGACTGTTTTTGTCTGTGGAAGAACATACCTGAAAGCTTAGTAGCTGCAGAATTGCTGTTCTGGAAATGAAGCATAAGTTATGTTTTATTTTTCCTCTCTCTTTTCAGGAGAATTTTTTCTCTGCTATGATCCTCAGAAGGATTACTGGGGATTTTTGACCCCAATGACTGTGCCTAGAATCCAAGGCTTGGCAACTGTATACAATGACTCCATCTACTACATAGCTGGAACCTGTGGAAACCATCAACGTATGTTTACCGTAGAGGCCTATGACATTGAACAGAATAAGTGGACTAGAAAAAAAGACTTTCCATGTGATCAGTCCATTAATCCATATATAAAACTCGTACTCCTCAAAAACAAACTCCATCTGTTTGTCAGAGCTACTCAAGTCACTGTTGAAGAACATGTTTTCAGAACCAGCAGGAAGAATTCACTCTACCAGTATGATGAGGTTACTGACCAATGGCAAAAAGTATATGAGACTCCAGATAGGCTCTGGGATTTAGGCCGGCATTTTGAATGTGTTGTTGCTAAATTGTATCCGCAGTGTCTTCAGAAAGTTATTTAAATTCTTTTTTCAGTACAGGCCTTAGTGATTTCAGTGGTAATCTGATACTAGAGAAAACATGTCTTAAAAGAAAACAAAGAAATTCTGTCAGTATTTATTGTAAGCTGAAACAGACAGTTTTTTGTACATGGGGATGGGTGCTCTTTAAAGGTTGCAGTCTGGGGAGGGAATAACTGGTTCAGTTTCATATTTACTGATATTTTCCTGAGAAATGAGAAGGAGGTTACAAAGTGCAATTATCAGCATTTTTTTTCTGGTAAACACTTAATCATGTCATACTAGCGGGGTGTTTTTGTGGTAAGAGCAAATTAAGTGGAAGAGCCAGGATAACTATGCACTACAGTGAAACAAAATCTAGCATTAATAGCTAAGGATGTCCGAGATGTTTTGAAGTGACTTTTCTTTTTTTCTCTTTTTTTTTTAAATACGGGTAAAATTTGAGGCAATATCACTAAGGTTTTTTTCTTTTAATTTTAGATTGAAAGTACATAGAGGAATGGTAGATCCTGATTCATGATGATTTTTTTTTTTTGTACTGTTTTTGAAGTCTACTAAGATGCTTGTGATGTTGTTTGTGCACTACAATTTGGGAGAAAAACTCAAGTCAGAATTGGAACATGGAGTACCTTTGCCCTGGATGGAGGCCTGTTCAGATTATTGTACCCCTCCTGTCGCTGGATTTTTGTTAAAATTGAGCTTAATGATGGGGTGGGGGGAAAATCTCAACACCTGTTTTTTTTGCCACATATATTTAGTTCTGTAAAAACATTTTTTTAACACTGCTTAAAACCTTTTTTTCATCCCATAAAGGGCTTTAACCCAAAAGTTGATGGTGCTAGTACATTTTTAATACTTGTTTGTCTAAAATAGGCTAGCCTTATGCTACTGTTTAAGACAGCCTGTTACTTTTTGTGGAGTGTGTGTCTCTCTTCAGGCCCTGTCCTGTCATCATATTGTCTTTTTTAACATAACATTTTTACTGCAGTGGTATTCTTGCACAGAATGGTGACAGGATATGGCCTTAATAATATTGATTTCTTTCTTTTTGTGTAGAGTGTTCATTCTGTCTCCACTAAAGTACAGTGCTATGTGCAGAGTTGGCATGTGCTCCAGTATTTTGGAAAAGTGTGGTTTAACTTTACAAATTGTTTTTCTTTTCTCCCCGCAATCAAGCCCTCAAAGACCTTCTATTTCATTCTGATCTATAATGTGAAAATTTGCACTACTGAGCTGTCTTCATTATCCAGTGTATTAAAGCAAAATTGATAAAAGTGTCCATGGCTTAAATAATCTTAGATGCAAATACAGAATAGGGATCCAATATGTTGCAACACTTTTCTCTATCTATTTAACATTTAGCTTATTTTTAAGAAGTTCAAAGTTCAGCCTCTACTTCAGTAGTAAAAACTGGATTTGAAAGGGAAAAGATGAATCCTTAAGCTCGTCTCAGCTGTAACTTGCCAGGTTTAATTTGTTACAGCTCTAATTTTTGCAGAGCTGTGAGTATGTTATCTTACTCTTCCCTATTGTCTCAAATTGACCTAAGTAAACCAGTTAACTTGAAATGGCAGTGGCCATCACTGGCTGTAAGTGCTTACCGTTATCTGGCTTAACAGCTGATATTTCAGTAAGCCAAATATTTAGCTCATTGTTTATCCCCCTGGCATGGCTGAGGATTTGGATAATGTTCGTTTACTATGTGGTCTTACTGTTCCCAAATGGAATCTTTCTAATACATGAAAATACTCGCCTGGTTCTGTTTCCTGATTCTTGCACAAAATGTTTAGAAGGCAAAAACAAACAAAAAACTGTGAAATGGAAAGGAAAAAGAAAATGCCTCTTTGCATTACATACCTCATCTTCTGGAGATTCACCAAACCTCTTCTTTCAAATGCGAGCGCCTGAATTTTTTCCTTAAGTGAAGTTGAAGTTGACAACTCTTGCTAAGACTGCATTTTCCAACAGTGAGGTGTGTTCTTTCTTTGTTTAGTTTTCTTCTAGATACTGTTTTATATATATCCATAGCCAAGAGGAAGAGTCTTTTTGAAAGTACAACTAATTTCATTTTAAAAATTATCCTTAGTCCTTGGCTAGCTTTTTTGGCGCTGTTGTAGGCCTCTAGCTGCAAGCTTTCTGAAGCACCCTCCCTAACAGTGTTGCATTTGTGTGTAAAACCTTTTTTTTTTTTTTTTTTTTTGCGAAGTGTTATGTAACTTTTTTCTTGGATTTTTTTTTTTAAGCTTGATTGAATATTTACAAGACTTCTTGCTGCTTTTTGACAATCTTCTATATTTATTTAGTAGAACAAATTTCAATATATTACTTGAAACTATGAAATAGAATTGAGTTAGCAATTGACTGGTCATGTGATGTATAGAAGTACAATATGCTGTGGTTAATTCTGCAGTAGGTTTGTTAATTTTGTTTATCTGCACTAAAGTACGAAGATCTCCATTCTGTGTAACCATTCAAACTGAGGGTGTGATCCAAGTCTGTAATGTGTTTAAAAGCTAAATCCTGGAACTTGCTGTGGGAGTAGAATATACTAAATCTTTTGCATGAGGAGTTTGTTGAGACAGTAATGTAGCTGTGACATTTTGCCAATTCTTAAATGCTTCTACGTTTTGATGAAAGTCAGATTCCTGGTAAAGTTTGGCTTTAGAGCCAGGCTTAAGTAAACTTGCACAGCACAAAAAATAATTGCACCAAAGGTACTGATAATATTTAAACAGTAATCTGTGAATTTTCCCCACTTGGTATTTTTTCTGCGTTCATTTATTTCCCTCTATTAAATGAATTTCTAGCATTGTAAGGACTTATGTCAGTGTAAATCTCTTTTTCCAAATGTATTAGTTGCTTTAGAAGGAAACATTTTGTAATTTCCACTGGATTCCATCAGTAAATCTTAGAATAACTAAAAAGCAGTTTTGGTGCACCAAACATGCAGTGTGTGTATGTTCTACAAGAAATGGAAGAGCTCCCTGTTCGTAAGGCTGTTTAGAAATGGCATCCAACATTCAGTGCTCAGGTATGTTAGTAAGAAGTACTGTAGTCCTATGAGGGCAAATGTGTGGATTTTTAAACATTTTGCCATAATTGCACAATTTTGCATTTTTACTTAATGTCATGTTATGTTTCTTAAAATAAACCTATTGTTGAAATACAATGGAGTTCAACTGGTTTTGTGATAGATCTCTTGCATGCATTTCAGTAAATTTCTGAAAATTAACCCAGTGATACATCTTTTTGATGCTTGTTCATTCAGTTCTATTTCTGCATTTGTGTGTGATGTCACATATTTGTGGTGAGGTTTTTTGGGTTTTTTTGGTGTTTTTTTTTTGTTTTTTTTTTTTTTTAAAGAAACACTATGCTGTGCTTCGTTCTGCTTTTTTTGTCTCGTTCCTTGTGGCTGTTCAGGTCTAACTTCTCATTTGCTTACACCCAGGCGACATCATTTCCCCTTCCCTTCCTCCACACCTTTGTCTGGAGCTGACATGCCAGCATGTCAAGTAGGGCTTTCCCATCTGATAATACTGTATATTGGAAAACCCTGAAACACTTTGTACTGAGTTTCCCAGCATCTTTACTTAGTAGGGAAGTTACTTCCCAGGTCGTAAAAGGGATGGAGAGAGCACAGTGATGTTGGTTGCAGAGGAGTCTGCTGCAGAGCTGAGAACAAGAGGCCTCCTCTCCCCTAGCTGTTTAAGTAAAACTCCAGCATTATATGTGGCTTCTGATCTAGCGACAGTGCTTAGTACATACGCTTGTAAATTATATTTTTTATTCAAGAAACTTTGTTCCCTTTCAGAGACTGTCCAATGACTTTAGCGATGATGCCAAGTTATCACAGCCTAGGAAAACAACATGAAGTTATCTTGTTTGGGAGGCACTCCTATTGTCAGGTTCTTGCCGGCATTATTTCCACCTCCTCACCACCCACCTGTAAACTCGTCTGGGTGTGATTTGAAGACTCTTCACCTGGTCGTTTGGTCACAGCAGAAGCAACTCAGGAGTCCGAGCTAGTGGTGAATCAGTAAGTCAGACTGGGTTGGCTGCCTAGGCTGGCATGATGATCCTAACCTCGGGCGAGTTTGTGCTGACAGATCCACCACGCTCCTGGTCACCAGTTCAGAATGGTACACTCCCTCCAGTCACACTGAACAGCAGCCTGCAGCTCTCCAGTTACAGCGCCCAAGGGTCCCAGCCTTCTTGTATAATCACTGGTTTATTTTGTGTGGTCACAACATTGTTCCTCATGTAGTTGAGCTCCTCTCCTCCAACGTATGACAGCATGTACTGGACAATCTTGATATCTTTTCTGTTTGCAGCCTTCCATTGCTGGGAAGACTTCTTTGGAGAAATTGGCTGACAGAGCAACGGCACTGCTTGCCTTCCTGCATTCCTGGCCAGATCTACAATTGCTCTGTTAAAAACCAGGGACAGGTCCTCTTGAAGACCTAGAAGAAAAAGTGATTAAGCCAGCACAGAGGAGGTAGGCTTGCTGTTTAACTTACTTTAGTGGGCTGAATAAATCGACAACACACTAAGCTATAAGTGTTCTGCTTGCTTCCACATCTGTGGACACAGCTGGGGCTGTGAAATACTAATGGCTGCTGTTAGGCAGACAGGTGTAATTAAATTTGGCTGCACTTTCATGCTGTCTGTAGAGCTTGCTAATAAAAGAGTGACAGAGTCCAAATTGTCCATCCTTGGCATGGAGTTTGCAGTTATCACCAAATACATGAATCGTAAAAGCATCCTAACCTGAGTCTCCCTGACTGCTGTCTCCTTTGTTTGGAGCACCTTTGCTCTGTCCAAAACTTCTAAGAACTTCAAGGGAAGATCCTCTAGTGGCATGCTACTATGTAATGATCTGTTGAGACTTAAAGAAATCAAGACAGAGCTGAAGCTGACAAGAACAAAAAAGAGAGACCTCCTTCTGTGATCCTCAAGGGGAAAAAGTTATATCAAAGCAAAATAACAAGAGGCTGCAACAAAAAGATAACCAAATCGCATTGTTTTCCTGGGGACAAATAAAATTAACTCGGGGTCCACAGTCTGGACAAAGCTAAAGCTTCAGAAGATAATTAGAATTATTATCTCCTTATAAGGGTTTTTTTAACCAGAGGGGAAAAGAACCTGAACTGAGCAGTTGTAGCAAAAGCCTGAGTGAGCGCCTCGCTCTTC